TATATTTAGCCTATTTAATCTACAATCTGGTATTGTGTTCTCTACTGACAAATTTATAGAATGTGGATGGGTCCCTTTGCTAGTCTTGATATCTTCTGCCCTCAGGGTTATAGTACTTACAGTGCTTTCTTGAGGCAGTATAACACAGATAATACTTGAGCCTAAATAGGTTGCTATGGCTCTCATTTCTGAGGAAATTTTAAAACGAATGAAAACAAATGCTAGGAAGAGTGACTAACATTTTCAAAGTGAAGTGTTAGGAAGTCTTAACACGTAGCCCACCCTGTTAACCAGTGTGCATTTCCCTCCCCACCTTGAAATTCAGCAAACATTAAAATGGGCACTTAAATTATAAATATATAAAATTGGAATCTTGCAGACATTTATATTTTATTGAGAAGTATCAAGAAGAAAATAAACTTATTAATTTTTTGTTTTCCTCCAGTTTATGTTTTAATAGTATGTATTTTCTTCCTTCAAAGTCAGATAATTCTGGGCCTCCCCGGTGGCACAGCGGTTGGGTGCTGGGTTGCGGAGCTGCCAAGGCCTCTGCAGCGCTGGTTCGATCCCCGGCTGCTCCCCGGCCACCGGAGGAGGGTCCCACATGGCGCGCAGACCTCGCCTGCCGCCCGCTGCTCCCCTCAGCTGTGTACTTCAGTCCTTCTGCCTGCTCTGCTCCCCGCTCTGGCTCTGTTGAATTCTCTCACTCACCCGCACTTCTGACTGTGCCCAGTGCTTGTATAAATAAGTAATAAATACATAAATAAATAAATAAATCTTTTAAAAAAAAAGTCAGATAATTCTCTGGATAGAGTTTCATATTGCTTTTTATTTTTTAACATTTTGGAGGAGCATCTTAAACATTGAGGATATATTTTTTGCTAGTGACTGTGTAGAGTATGTTTGCTGGGTAGGAGTTTTGCAGTGCTAATGCTCTCTCTCCCTTTCCTGTGCCTGTACTGTGAACTTTTACTTTTCCTTCAAGTGTGAAGTTGGATATGAACTTATACCCAGGCCAAATTGGTTACTGTACTTCTTTGCTTCCTTAGGAGTTTTGTAGTTTTGATTTGCTTCCATTTACTTGTTTATTTCTTCCACGGACTGTGGGTTCCCTTAGGCACCAATTTAATCTTCTTTCCATTGTCATCTCTGAATGCTTGAGTATGATTTTTTGTTTTAACCAAATCATATGAGGTGGTAACCATTATTCCCTCCTTTACAGATGAGGATGTTCAGGCTCAGAAAGACCATGTAATATTGCAGATCACATTAATTGGGAGCAGGGGATGCTGGAAAAATTCAAATCTCAGTCCTTTCTACTCTATCACATTGCTAGAACAGCTAGTATATTTTAGAGCCTGAATAATGTAGGCTCTCAAGTTGATATATTTAAAACTTTGATGTCTTTTTCAAAATTTGTTTTCTGTCTTTTAATCTTAAATAAGGTGACTTTTTGTATATGCCTCCTCTATTTCCCTACCCCTGGCCAAAGTAAAAATCTCAAACAAAATGTTGCATTCTACTTCTATAGCATATTTTTCTAGTTTGATTCTTCTTAGGAAAGAGGACACTAACAATTCTTTGTTAATATTTGCTTTTTTAGACTTACTTGTTTGAGCCCTGTTCTAACAGACAAGTAAAAATAACATCATTGCTATTTGAAAATTAGTAAGTATGTCAAATGTAGCTCTTGGTAGAGGTCTGGCCCCCCTGAGATTAGGTACCTTTGAAGTTTTATCAGTGTCCGGCTTTATTCCTTTTAATTAATTATGATGAGTAGGATAATCTCAGTAATCTCTCTGGTATTTTCAGTTGTCAAATTGGTACTAGTGTGGTAATTCAAATGTTAGATTTTTCTCTTTAGGTCATCCTTATCAAGAAGAGTTATAATGTAGCTTTCATTTGTTTTTCTATCAGTTATTCAAATTTTAAATTATTTTAATTTTTTACAGTCTTTCCATTAACTACCTTCATAATTCTTCAACATGCTTAATTTGGTATTGTGACCATGGGGACCCATATTCCTGTCTACTTCTTACCCTCCCGCACCTCTGACCTATACCCCAGTTCTTGTATAAATAAAAAAAAAAAAATCTGAAAACAAAAAAGCTTCATACTAAACTTAAAAAAATTGGGCCTCCCCGGTGGTGCAGCAGTTGAGCACTGGGTTGCAAAGCTTCCCGCGGCCTCTGCAGTGCTGGTTCGATCCCCAGCTGCTCCCCGGCCACCGGATGAGGGTCCCACATGGCGCGCAGACCTCTCCTGCCGCCCGCTGCTCCCTTCAGCAGTGTACTTCGGTCCTTCTGCCTGCTCTGCTCCCCGCTCTGGCTCTGGTGAATTCTCTTACCCTCCCACGCTTCTGACTGTACCCAGTGCTTGTATAAATAATCAAATAAATAAATAAATAAATAAATCTTAAAAAAAAAAAATAATGGCCTCCCTGGTGGTGCAAGGGGCTTAAGGCACAACCTTTGAAGCTATCCACAGGCACTGCAGCACGAGTTTGATCCCAGGCCAGGGAGCTACCCACATGACACAGCAGACCTCTCCTGACTCGCCCGCTGTTCCGGGCTAGTATTCCATTCACTCTGCCCATTCTGCTCCCCTCTCTGCCTATGGTGAATTCTCTCACCCCCACACTGCTGGCCTGTACCCCAGTTCTTGTACGCATAAATAAATAAATCCTTAAAAAAAGAAAAAAAAATAATAAAATTTTGTTGATTCTAGAGGAATGGACTTTTTGATTGGAACCACTAAGAAAGTGTGCAATTTTTATTGAAGAGAGTAAATACCAAATTTGTGAAATTTATTTACTAATTTATAATACAAATCTTCAAAGATGAGAAATTTGGGGTGTGAGTGGATAAACCTCAGTTTAGTTGCTTAGTTAATGATTCTGTAGTTTTGAGTTATTACTGTGGATTGATAAAATCTCTTACATAATTAGCTGAAAATCATTTTTATAAAATGAAGTATCTAGGGGGCTTAAGATGTCAGTTTAAGATGTAATTCTGACAGATTTACCAGTAGAAGGACAATTCTAAAAATTCCCATTTAGAGAGTTTCCATTTTTCTGGATTATATATTGCTAAATATTTCAAAATTTCTAGGGTCATTAGATTTTTGTGAGATGTTAATTGGATGAAGAAAATGAAACTGATAAAATAGAAAATGCCAGTAAAGACATCAACTATCATCCTATGTAAAGCCTTTATATAGCATTTACTTGATGAAAATGTATTGGCTGATCTCAGAAGCCGTGTCTATTCAGGATAGTGTTGGGGATGGGGAGAGGAAAGGGCATAAACTAGATGTTAATGTACAGTGTTTTATCTTTGTGATATTTTCAGGGTTACTAACTATATGCAGACATATTTTAGAACATGTCATAATGGTGAGAGTATGAATTATACTTAAGTTAGGATTTTAGGATATCAGTTTCTATATGTACCAAATGTTTTTTTTTTTTTTTAGATTAAATCTTCAGCTCTTTGACTTTAATATTGCCTGTATATTTTACTGAAAGATAGCTCTTTGTAGTTATTTTCTGGGAAAATAAAAATAGAGATGTGAGAAATAATTGGAAAAATTTGGCATATTCTTTGTCCCTAAACCAGAAGCAAAACCTTATAAATATAAAGTAATCAAGGCAAGGAAAAAAACAAACAGGTTAAGTTGCCGTTCTTCATGAGCATTATGTCAGTTGCCCAGGCCCCAGTTATCTTGGTAGATTATAATTGGTTTTTGCAGGGACTTACAAAAAAATAATAGGCAGGAAATTAAAAAAAAAATTACAAAAGAATCACTTATTCCCAGAGTTCTGAATACCTGTTGGATTGTAACCACTTGTGTTTTCCAGGAAGCTAAAAATGTACTCTGATGTGAGAATCTAAAACTTTTCCTCTATGATTTCATGTGCCATTACTTATAGATAGGCTGAACTTTGGTTTTTATTCATTCATTGATTCATTGAACAAATATTTATTGATTTTTGCTTAACTTAATATCAGGCACTATTCTGGATTCTAGGAATACAGCACTGAACAGAACACACAATCTCTTCTCTCATGGTGATCATTAGGGATGACTCAAAAAATTACTGTGTTTTGTTCTTGACCTGGTGTTAATATGTTGATGTATGTCCTATGTGATGGGGTGTGTGTGTATGTGTATGTAATTAGACACAGTTCTGTTGTTTTATTGTCTCATCTCTACACATTTTAGCCAACTTCAAAAATTTACTTGTGTAAAAATAAGTTATTGTTGTAATGAAAAATAAGTTATTGTTGTAATGAATTTTGAGCACATACCTCAGTTGTTCACATCACAAGTATTTATAAAATCATTAATTTGATACTCTTAAAAACCAGTTAACTTTTCTAGGAAAAATGATTCTGCTTTATTATGCAAATGGCTCTTGTTAATCCTAAAGTGATTTGAGTGAGATTCCTGCAATACCTTTTTGTTTGCATTCTTATTTGTATACAATATAGATCCTCGATTCTTTTTTTAAAGATTTATTTATTTATGCATAGAAGAACTGGGGTGTAGGCCAGAGGTGTGGGGCATGAGAGGATTCACCAGAGACAGAGTGGGGAGCAGAACAGGCAGAATAGATCCTCTGATTCTTGATCATTTCATTATTACTACTGAATAAATCAAGTATTAGAATCATCATCTTTGTACTTATAGGGTTTTAGGCATGCTTACTTTAGCTTTTGTAACACTTATTTCATAAGAATGACAGATAAATGTTTTAAATCAAGCCATGTAAAAGTAAGAGTGCCACATCATTTAAATGTTACCATATCATTTAAATGTACATAATTTTTGTAGTTGTTTCTTAAATTTGGCTTAAGTATTACATATTCATAATGTTACTTTATTTTTTCTGTAATTTAAAATTATTGTTTGATCCATTTTGGATGGAACAATTTGATAATGGTCTAGATTTTCTTTAACCAAATTTGTTTTTAATGTACTTTATTTATGCTTTTTAGGTGGCAGCCAATGCACACATTCCTCCAGACTACCTCCTTAAAATTTGTGAGCGGATTGGTCCCTTACTAGATAAGGAGATCCCTCAGAGTGTTCCTGGGGTACAGACATTACTAGGCGTTGGTCGGCAATCTCTGTTACGGGATGCCAAAGGTAAGATTTTCACAACTTTGAGAGGCAGGAGTGGGAAGTAGAATATTTTTACATTAAGTAAATGTTCCCATAGTTTTCTAAATAATATCTTTCTTCTACTTTTTCTATCTTGCCAATATTTTTTAAATTTTCTTGGCCTGTAAGTTTTTAGAGTCCTTTTTCTGTAAAAACTGTCAGTATCATATTTTTCTTTTTCCTTCTGGCTTATTTCACTGAGCATAATTCCTTCTAGTTCCATCTACATTGCGGCGGATGACATGAATTTATTGTTTTTGATTGCTGAATAATAACATTGTGTATATATGCCACATCTTCTTGATCCAGTCATCTATTTTTGGGCATTTGGGTTGTGTCCAGGTTTTACCTATTGTAAGTAGTGCTGCAGTAAACATAGATGTATAGGTGTTCTTTTGAATTAATGTTTTTGTGTCCTTTGGGTAGATGCCTAGTAGTGGAATTGCCGGGTCGTATGGTCGCTCCATTTTTAGTAGGATCCACTATGATAGGAAACATTTCATTCTCAAAAAAAAAAAAGTTTAGATTTTTTCCCCCAATGTGGTCAGAGTTTACCTAAGTATAGCATGCAAGTGGAAAAATAGGGGACAGAAATCAGGTATTGGCAGCTTTTCCATTTTCACTTGTATGTGATTTTTTTTTTTTTAAGATTTATTCATTTATACAAGAACTGGGGTACAGGTCAGATACACGGGAGGGTGAGAGACTTCACCAGAGACAGAACAGTGAGCAGAACAGTTAGACGGACCAACGATACTGCTGAGCGAAGCAGTGGGCGAGGCAGGAGAGGTCTGCCACACCATGTGGGTTTCTCCCTGGCCATCCAGGAATGGAAACCACGCTGCAGAGGCTGTGGACAGCTTCACAGCACTGCGCTCAACCTTCTGTGCCACCGGGGAGGCCCCTGTGTTTGAATTTTTAATATAAATGCAGGGACATAAAGCATGAATATAAGTCAAGATATTTCAATGAACAGGTTTCAGCAGTTCAACTTTATAAGAATCATAAATAAACCTTTATTTTTTTCTGAAAATGAAAACTGTCAGTATCATAGATGTAAAGAATATAAAATCTTATAATCTTGTGGAATATAAAATTTTGTAATTTTGTGGAATAGAGATCTCAAAAGATCACTGCTTTGATTAGTAGAGTATAAATGCATAAAATAATATTTTATTACACATTATAATCTTAATCTTTGTAAGTCTCGATGTCATCCTAATATCATTTTATAAATATATTTCATACTAGGTGAATGAAAATTATGTGTAAAGTTTTTTGGAAAATATTTGTTTTAATGTTTATCAGTTTGTATTGCATATGAAGCAGTAGCATCGTAGTGTATGGGAATTATTTTCCTCAGTTGCACACATAAGTTATGGTTGTTCTAAACCAGTATACATAGTTTGGAGGGGAAGGCTAAACAATAGCATCAACCATGTTATTGAATGTAAGAATTTTTATTAAAAATATTAAAAATAAGGGCCTTCCCTGGTGGTGCAGTGGTTGAGCGCTTGGCTGCAAGGCTGCCTGCAGCCTCTGCAGCGCCAGTTCCATACCCGGCCGTTGGCGAGGGTCCCACATGGCGCGCTACAGACCTCTCCTGCTGTGCCTGCTGCTCCCCTCAGCAGTGTATTTCGTCAGTCTGCCTGTTCTGTTTCCTGCTCTGGCTCTGGTGAGTTCTCTCACCCTCCCGGGCTTCTGACTGTACCCAGTGTTTGTATAAATAAATAAATAAATCATTTAAAAAAGTGATATTTTTAAAAAAATACTAAAAATTAGATAGCAATGTTAACATAACTCTCATCATTGATGAATGGAAAAATAAAAAGTGACTTTTGGAGATTTCAAAATAAAAGAGGTCAGATAAGAAACCAAGAAAGTACTACACATTGCCATACAGTCAAATTATCATACTTCAGTATTTACATACTTGATAGCAGCATTATTTTTTAAAAAAGATTTATTTATTTATTCAAGCACTGGGTACAGTCAGAAGCATGGGAGGGTGAGAGAATTCACCAGATCCAGAGCGGGGAACAGAACAGGCAGACTGACGAAATACACTGCTGAGGGGAGCAGCGGGCACGGCAGGAGAAGTCTGTCGCGCCATGTGGGATCCTCACCAGTGGGCAGGGATCAAACAGGCGCTGCACAGGCTGCGGGCAGCTTCACAGCCCAGTGATCAACCGCTGCGCCACCAGGGGAGGCCCAGCAGCATTTTTTTTTTACTGAACTCTGTTCAGCTACATTTAGGAGCACATCAAAACAAAATATGCATTTATCAATCAAGATCCAAATGAAGGAAAACAAACACAAAGTCTCTAAATTGAACACTAAAAGTAGATGAACATTTGTGCAGAATGAATCAATATCTGCATTCTTGGACTGTTTTATTCTGTTCCAGTAAAAGTGTAAATTCAGATTATCAATTGTGTATTTTTGGAGGATTTTAGTTTTACCAACTCTTAATTGTGCTGTGTTCTTGGAACAAAGAAGGTCATAATAAATTCTTCTACACAATGAACTTTAAGTACAGTTGAAAATAAATATACTCCATGTAAACAAACACATACATATGCACAAAATGAAAGAAATTTTTATCTTTAAACAGTCAGTGCTTCCAAAAGCACATTTTATCTTCTCTCCCCTTAGTCTCTGTCTCCATTACATAATCATTCCTTTTTTCTGTCATGTCCTCTCTGTGTCTTCTGTTATCTCTTGAATGGTCTCTCTTTCTGATCTCTTTCAGACTGTGTAATTCTCTGACCACTAACAGCAGCTTGTATTGCTTGAAAATGTTTAAACAAAAACATTACCCCATCAGTGACAGTTCAATAATAGTTTCTGTATAGTGCTGTTTTTCAACTTTTATAAATTGCCCCCAAAGTTACATAAAAGCCTCTTAAAAATATAAGGTAATATTTTAGTATAATAAATACTTCAAGTATAGCAAACAGTTAATTTCTGTGTTAATTTTATTAGCATAATGCTTTAAAAATTTCAATTCATGTCTTCCCTAGTGGCCTAGGGGTTGTCTCATAAATAAAAAAAAATTAAATAAAAATTTCAATGCACAAATGTAAATATTTGCATAAATAATACCTGATTTTAAACATCTAAAGAACTGGGGTATGGGCCAGAGGTGTGGGGGTGGGAGTGAGAGGATTTACCAGAGACAAAGTGGAGAGGAGAACAGGCAGATTTACTGAAATAAACTGCTAGGGGGAGCAACGAGTGAGACAGGAGATGTCTGCTGCATGCTATGTGGGTTAGCTGCATGCTATGTGGGTTAGCTCCCTGTCCCGGGATTGAATTAAGGCCCTTGCAGTGATAACACTGAGACTTAACCCCTAGGCCATGAAGGAGGCACTAAACATCTAATTTTATAATGTAAGAAAATATTTCAATTCAGTTAATTTGGAAGTTTTTAGGAGAGTGGTAGAATGTTTTTGTTTCAAAGTTGAATTTTTAGGAATATTTTATATTTGCTTGATTTTTTTTACATAAATAAAACTATTTATAGTCTGTTATAATTTTGTAAGCAGTTTTGTTACTAGTTATACACAGTAGGCAGGTACTCCATAACAGAACCATGTACCAAGGATAAATGTGTATGAATTTTACTTAGAATGCTGACACTATAGTTGTTTCCTTGCTTATATAGTTTTATATGAGTAGACATGTATAAGCCTAAAGATCTAGAACCAAAATAAATTTAAAACCTTAATCTATGATATATTTAAATGAGATTCATATATATATATATATATATATATATATATATAAAATAAAAGCTTCAGTTCTGGATCAACACAGAATTAAAATATTTTGATGATATATTAAGGTATTGGTGCCTAACAGTGATAATTTAGTTTGTAGCATGGTTAAATATATATGTGTGTTATTTTTTGTGTTTTTAATAATTAGAAGTGTATTTTAGGAAATGATGTTGAAAAGAAACATCTGACTCTAAGGTAGTCAGGAAAACTGTTCTATTTCTTTACTAACTATTGATCTTTTTGCATAGACTGTAAGAATACACTATGGAATGGGTCTGCATTTGCAGCTCTACATAGAGGCAGACCTCCAGAACTACCTGTAAATTACGTGAAACCTCCAAATGTGGGTGAGTAATGTCCATGTGAGTTTATAAACATAAAATTCTTGATTTGTTCCTTCCTGAACTTGTAATAAAGCCAAAAATAGGTACCAGAATTAAATTTCAAGTATAAACAAATTTCGTTTATTTTTGAGGAGTTTCATGTTTGTTCCAGATTTTAAAGCAAACATAATCATGGTTTTGTAAAAGGTGAACCTTTTTTTCTTTATTTCTTTTTTTTCCTTTTGTAGCAGAGGCATTTTCTTTTTTTATATACTACAGATGTTTTTAACCATACGGATGTCTGTTTACATATCTATGTGCTGAAATTTTTCAAAGATTATACAGGAAACTGTAAAGAGAAATTTCAAAAGGGAATAAAAGTGTATTCTGCTTATATCTGCTTCTAAACTTAAAACAATGTAATAAAATTTTCATATGTCTTTATTAAAACAAAAAAGTCACCCTTCCCACTTTTAGTTTACTAAAATTTCTTGTTTCTTTCATATTATTTTTTGGACATCTCTGACCAGACCATTATGAAGAAATATTAGTAGTGGCTCCCAAGAAGATCTAGCTATAAAACTGTTCATAGTTACATTAACTTTTACAAAATATGAACAAAAGCGAGCTACTAGATGAATAATTGCCCCTCTACTTCCATGTTTTCTCAGAACTCTAAAATTTTTAAAAATTACATTTTATATATTATCTAGTACCTAGAGAATATGCTTAAATTCAAATTGAAAAGAGTACTTTTTTAAGGTATACTATTTTATGTAATAATTAGGACTTACTTAGCTCCGGAGGATAATAAATTTAAATAGAAATAATTTTAAAAGATACTTAGAAACAGTGAAAGGTTCATATGGTTTATTAAGAGAAATTGGACACTGATATAAATTGCTTACAATACTTTTTCATGCTTACAATACTTTTCCACTAACTTTCTGACATTGGTATTTCATTTTCTGGAGTTAACATACAGAATATTCCAATCATTTTTCATTATTTATTACTAATTTATTGCATCAAAATGAGGTAGGTTTTGTTATTCATGCATTTATGTATTTATGATCAAAACATTTTCAGACTATTAAAATTTTTTAATTTTTACTTTTTTAAAATTGCATACTTTTGATTGAAGTAACATTGATTTACAACACTGTATATGATTTAGGGATATCAGTTCACACCTCTTCAGATGTATGTTACCCCGCCACGCTCACTGACAATGTACCCATAATCCACCACAAGCCATTGCATCCACCCCCCCCCCCCATTTTGCTCCCCACCCTACACTCTCCAACTCTGGTAGCCCTGATCTTGCAGTCAGATATCTAGGGCTTATTATGCTGTTCCTTTGTTTATATTCTTTATATTCCACATATAAGTGAAAACATCTGATATTTGTCTTTCTCCTTCTGACTTAATTTTGCTTAGCATAATCCCCTTCACTCCCTTCCATATTATTGCAAATCACAAGAGTTCATCTTTTTATTGTAGCTGAGTAGCAGTCCATAGTGTGTATCTATCACATCTTTATCCACTCATCTGTCTCTTGGCATTTAGGTTGTTTCATTAACTTAGCCTTTGTAAATGATGTTGAAGTATACATGGGCATGTGCATATTTATTCAAATTAGTGTTTTTGTATTCTTCAAATAGATACCCTAGAGAGATTGATGAATCACATGGCAGATCTGTTTTTACTATTTTGAGAAATTGCCATATTTATTGTTTTCCATAGAGGAAAAAGTATATAAGGGTTCCTTTTTTCTCTATATCTTTGCCAGCTCTTGCTTCTGGTCTTTTTGATACTAGCCTCATGGGTGTGAGGGGATGTTTGATTGTGGTTTTTATTTGCATTTACCTGATAAGTGATGATGAGCCTTTGTATATGTGCCTGTTGGTCATCTGTAAGTCTTCTTTGGAAAAGTGTCTGTTTAACTCTTCTGTCCATTTTTTCAATGGGTTGTTTTTGTTGAGCTGTGTAAGTTCTTTGTAGATCTTGGATATTAGCCTCTTGTCATTTGTATGGTGTGTAAACATTTTTTTGCCTTTCGGTAGGGTATCTTCATTTCAGTGATAGTTTCTTTTGCTCTGCAAAGCTTCTTGGTTTTATATATAGTCCCATTTATATATTTTTGCTTTGGTTTCTTTTGCCATTGGATTTCAGTCCCCAAAGATATCCCTGGAGCCAATGTTGTGGAATGTTTTGCTTATGTTTCCTTCTACATATTTTATTGTTTCAGATCTTACATTCACTTTTATCTCTTTTGAGTTAACCTTTGTTTGTGGTGTGAGATAGTGGCCAATTTTCCTGTGTTTACATATGTTTTTCCAGCATCATTTTCTCTTTCCATTTCTTGTGTTCTGTTTTTTTTTTTTTTAGTATCTTAGAGTTTTCATTGTACAGTTCTTTTACCTCCTTTGTTAGGTTTATTCCTAGGTATATCATTCTTTGTGATTGTAAATATGATTGTTCTCTTGGTTTCTTTCTCTTTTGGTTCACTGTTTGCATATAGGAAGACAACAGATTTTAGTGTATTAATTTTGTGTCCTGCCATTTCACTCTCCTGATATATACTGTTTCTAGTGATAAATGTTTTTTAGTGGATTCTTTAGATTTTTCTTATATATTGTTATGTCACCTGCAAATAGTGATAGTACTAGTACTTTTACAATTTGAAATCCTTTTATATCTTTCTTTTGTCTAATTACTCTAGCCAGGACTTCCAATACTATGTTATATAGTGGTGAAATTGGACATCCCTGTCATGCACCTTACCTTAGAGGAAATCCTTTCAGTGTTTCACCACTGAATTTAATGTTAGCTATGGGTTTGTCATATATGGCCTTTATTATATTGAGGTGTGGTACTTGTATTCCCATTTCATCAAATTTTTATTATAAATGGATTCTTCATCTTGTCAAATACCTTCTCTGCATCTGTTGATATGATTATATGGCTTTATTCTTTCCTTTTGTTGATGTGGTGAATCATACTGAATGATTTGGGGATGTTGAACTATCCTTATACACAGTATTCTTTACTAAATGTATTTTTGAATATGGTTTGCTAGGATTTTATTGATGCTTTTTACATCTCTGTTCTCCAGGGATATTGATTTGTAGTTTTTATCCTTGTCACCTTTCGTATCAGAATAATGTTGGCCTCATTAATTTTATTTGGAAGCATTCACTGTTCTTCATTTTTTTTTTTGAGAAGTTTGTGAACCATAGATATTGTTTCGACTTTGATTTGTTAGAATTTAGAAACGGAGTGATTTGATTTGGACATAGGCTTTTTTTATTTTTTTGGAAAGAGTGTGGTGGTGTCCCCTACTGCTGTTGTGTTGGCGTATCTGTTTTTATGGTTTTTTAAATAGTTTTTGTGTTTTGATGCTCCTTCATTTAACACACACACACACACCACACACACACACACAGATCCCTTAATCAGTATATATCTTTATCCCTGCCTCTTGTTTTCTTTTAACCTGGATATCTATTTTATTTTATATAAATATTGCTATCCCTGCCTTTTTTGAGTATCACTTACTTTCAGGATTGTTTTCCAGCCATTTACTTTGAGTCAGTGTTTATCTTAGAAGCTCAGATTGGAGACAGCAAAAAGTTGGGTTTTGTTAGATCAAACCAGTCACTCTGTTTTGATTGTGAATTCAGTCCATTTATTACCTTTAGAGTGATTATTGATATATAGGTACTTGCTGTTCCCGTTTTGCATTTAGTTTTTGACTTTTATCTTTTCCCAAGTTATTTTGAAAGTATCTGACTTTCCCCATTGAATTATCTTGGCACAGTGGTTGAAAGTTAATTGTATATGTATGGGTGTATTAAGTGGGCTCTGCTATACAAGTCCTCCAAACTTGCTCTTGGTTTTTCAAAATTGTTTTGGCTTTTCTAATTCCTAGCATTTTCATATAAATTTTAGATTTCTTAATTTCCACAGAAAAGCAACTGGGGGTTTTGCTTGGGATTACATTGAGTCTGAAGAGCAGAATGGAGAATTCACATCTTAACACGTAGCCTTCTAATCCAGGAACACAGTGTGATTCTCACATTTGTTTAGGTTTTAATTTCTAACTTCAGTGTTGTAGTTTTCACTGTACAACTCTGGAACATTCACTGGTATTTTCTCCTAAGGATTTCATGGTTTTTGGTGCTATAGTGTATATTTTTAAATTTCAGTTTCCACTTTTTTGTTGCTAGTAAACAAAGTTTTTTTTTTATATTGACTCTGCAAAATTCACTAACCAGATTTCTACTAGTGTTTTGTTTTTGTTTGTTGCTTATTTTTTTGAGATTATTTACAAGTTAATATTGTCTGTGAATAAAAACAGGAGTAGTTATTTCTTTCTAATCGTGTGCCTATATTAATTTTTCCCTGCATTATTGAAGTGCGGGTGTCTCTACTAAAATGATGAAATCAAAGTGGTTTAGACTGGTGTGGGGTCAAGCAGGAACAGGTAGGCATGCAGGTTCATTGTTGATTGGGGCAAATGGATAAAGGAATCTTTGAGCTTTGGGTAGATTTGACAGGCCTTTAAAGCTCAAGCAAGGAACTGGGTACAGGCAGACCAGCAGTTATGGAGGAATGCATGAGGGGGGCTGGGATGCAGGCAGCAGCCAAGCCCCCGCCCCCCACCGCAGCCCCTGCTATCTCCCTGCTTCCCTTCTCTCTCTTAGTCTTGAGATCTTGTGCTCTGTGGCTTCTCAGCCCTGTTGTCCAGGTGCTCTAGCTCCCAAGTACCCTCCATTAAACCTTATCATGTTTGGTCAGTGAAACCTGGGGGGAAAGCAAGGCCGCATATGGTGGCTGTAGAGGCTAGTGGAAGGAAGGGGAAAAAGAGCCTGAGCCACCCATTTCCCCCTACAACTGGATATCCTTGCCTTATTCCTCATCTTAGGGGGAAATAGGCAATCTTTCAGTATTAAATATGAGTGTAGATGCCCATTCTTAGTTTGAAAATGTTCTGTTCGTACTTGTATGGAATTTTTATC